TAACTTCTCAAAATTTAGACAAACTGCATTGTACCATAAAAGGTGCTGGGTAACCTCAATCAGTATGCATACTCCAGTATTAACAGCAAGTTCCCAGCATTTTACAAAGACAACATCACTTAGGTCATGTCCTCAGACTCAAATCTATGGTTCTATGATCTTCTCTTCTTTTTTATGCTGGCATCAGTGTTAAGTCCACAGCTTATTTACGATGCACAGTTGACATGAAGGAGCCAACAGAGCAAAAGGCTTTGTCCACTGCAAATCCTGAGGGCTCATACTAAATCTCTTTCACAGAATACATTGGTGACATGGCCTTTATTGAAATTCTTTGTATACTCTGTTGGTTTCTGACATCTCTGAGATCAACAAGAGGCAAACATACTGAGACCTCAAAGCAGGAGATTTGAATAAATGCTTTGACTTGAGCCTAAGTCAGTAGAATCAGATATATCATGTTTCTCATTCCAAATCATCCACAAAATGAAGTAACACAAATGATTTTGCACCAAATCCCATAAATCCTCCGTTCAGTCCTCATCTCTGTCCATGCTGTAGTTCAATTTGCCTGAACTTTTGTTGCTCACAGAATTGGACTAATTCCATTTTGCTCTTGAATGCAGCTTTAGGACTGTGTCTGAGCTAATCTCTTTAGGATCCTTGTTGTTAAGCTCAGCATTATGTCATGTAGTCATGGAGATTATAGCTTCTGTCTGTTGAAATGTAATTTTATATTTGATGGTGTGAACCTGTAGAAATATGGAGAACTTTGCTTTTTTTCTTACGTACGTTTATAAGGTATAGGAGTAGGAACAGGTGGTAGCAATTTGTGAGCTGCAGTCATATATGTTGTTAGAGTGTGCAAAAATTGTCACTTGGCATTTTTAGACCAAAGTAAATATAGCAAATTAATTGTAAACAGCAACCCATGTCTAAAAATATGAATAAACAGCACAGTGCAATGGGGGGGGGGGGGGGGGGGTTTCACTTGAATAGCTTCTCACTATTTACCATCAACAGTCTACCAGTAAGATGTGTTTTGATAGGCCCCCTGAAGCATGCACTACGTAGGTGATGGTCAGCCATGATGGAGGCAATAATAGGCACAAATGACCCAAGGGCTTTGAATAAAAAGATATGAACCAGAATGTGAAGCAGCATGGACCACAAGCCGGCCCTATAGGCTCACATATCCAGCAGAGAATTCAACCAGGGGCCTTCTGATTTGTGCCTAATAAAGTTGTCACATCCTATCAAGACTCACATCTACTACATAAAGCATAGCCCCCCAGTCATGGCTAGTCAGGGGTGATCAGCTGCACCATCTGAGAGTGGACAACAGCCAGCAGTGATGGATGATGGGAAAGGGAGCAGCATGATGGAAGAGAATGTGCGATGAGTTAAAATTCTCCTGCAGGCTTTAACTTCATTTTAAGGGTTTGTTAGAAGATAATGCCTCATTTCTTTTTCCTGTCTGTAGTCCTAAATGCACAGGACAGAATGAAGAGTGAAGAGTCAGGGGAGACATTCCGCCAGAGTGGAGTACAGATTTCACAATGCTGACACTGGCATGGGGCCTGGCATATGTGCAGTCTACATGACTAGCCACACTATAATGCCTTCTTTTGATCAAATGAAAATTTAAAATTTTGAATATTATTTTGGATGAATTATTATTATTATTATTAGTTCAATATAAACATTACATTTATAACTGATCTTTTAATTTCATAAAGTATCCAGTTGTTAGGGTAAATGCCAAAAGGATAAAGAATTCACAGTTGTTCATAATGTAGAAAGGAATAATCAGTAATATTATGTTAGTAATATCAGTGTTTTTACTCAGGAAAATGTACTAAAAATCAACAATGTTTGCTTGATTTGACCATATCACATTTAAAGTTGATAACAGACTAATTTACGTGGAATTTCTCAGCCAGCTGAAACTCAGAGCCTTAAACCCACCCACACTATAGTGAATGTGCTGCACACAGAGACAGGTCAAAACTGCACTGTGCTACTTCCTCTTTACTTAATGCTCCTATCACAGGACGCAGTACTCCGAACCTGACCTCTAGAGGGAGGCAGCAGAGAGGTCACCAACACTCACCATTCTCACCAAGCAAACACCAGCACAACTTTGATGAAGTTGTAAGTTAGCTCCAGGTCTCCTTTAACATCATACACTTACAGTTGTGTCTTTTTCACAGCAAGGGCAATAACCCAGAGGGTTGCTTTATTGACTTGACTCTGCAGCTGGTACATTTTATTATCTTGTGTCCAACTGTCCATTACTTCACTGAGTAATACTTCCTTGTTTCTGCAATGCAGCCTTTGACCTGGGATTGCTGACATTTACAACTGCTGCAGTTTACAACTAGTGCTTTTTTCTATCGTATAGGTTTTATTATTGTTATTAATTCATTTTTCACTTTATTAGCTTGAATGAGTAGATTTTTTTTTTGTTATTATTTTATGCGTGCATTTACTATAAGCCAATTTCGAAGTTTGGAAGCCAGATGAACCATAAATCACCCACGCATCATAATAATGACACCCAAATTTCCTCCAAGTGCAATAACAGTTGTGTAAGTGCAGCTGTGATGGAGAGTCTCAAAGTCTGAATCAATCATACAGTATGTAGCACATTATGAAAACTACCTAAGTCTTACAGACACTCTACCTGTGTCTTAATATTGTTCAATGTAATGTTATGGGGAAAAAAGTAGTGCTGTTAAGGACAATCCTATATATTTTATTATGGAAAGATTTAAGTAACTTTGCATTAGGAATACACAACAAACAATCTGATTGAGCATTTTCAAAATCATTTCAACAGCATGCCTTTCTATGAAAAGGAAGAATATGGTAACTTTTCAAACATGCTTGACATTCTGATTCTCATGGGCAGGATAGTGTTGTGCAGAGTACACTGTACAATATAACAGGCACAGTCACTCACAGCAGGCCACACTAATCACATTACATTTAGCCGTGACAAAGACAAGGCCGTGTACAACCAAGATAGATGGATTAAATTCATGTGAGGCTGGATTAGTCTCAAACAAACTCATGAACACAACATTTAAACACTGAGAATGTGTTAGTTAAAGGTGCATTTTGTAACTTTTCTGCTTGCCTCCATAGAAATAATATTACTTTGTTTGGAATGCCATTAAACATATCCATCTTGCATTTATTGAATAACATGTGTTTTTATATGCCTAAAAACTTGCATTCTTATTGTGATTGGTCTCGCCTCTCCACAGATCTGACATGTAACTTGGTCCTGTGGTGTCACCTACTGTCTCCACAGAGATAAATAATTGTAATGTCACACTGTGAAAGCAGGCAGCATCTCCAAGGAGAGAAGCAGGCGATGGATGTCGTTCCACCAGAAAAGTTACAATACACCTTTAATATTAACTTTTTGTTTATTGTTACAACTTGAGAGAAACACATTTCAAATATATCACACCAACCTGTCTGTATTGCTAAATGCCAAACCTCTCTTTCCTGTGCACTTCATTCATTCTGTCTCATTCCAGTCCCCAATATCCTCAAGCCTCTATTCCCATTTACTTTTCCAAGGATCATGACACTAATATGACTGTTGACTAAATGTATTGTTACAGATGCCCAGATGTCCACTGGGATCTTTGGATCTTTTATATTAGAGGAGTAACACTGTAAGACAGGTATTAATTTGCCTAATAGGAGCAAAGCGGATAAAATAATAAAACAGTTCATTGAAGTCTAAGTCAAGTTAAATTAAACTTTGAAAAGCTTACTTTTTATGGGAGATGTCATTAAATATTAGCTGTAAGTCTTGCAGAGGAGCAGATGATGTGCTTAAACACAGTAATTATGAACAGTTTGATAGCCCTCAAACGCTCCATATAAGTGATAGATAGGAAAGTCATTAAAACTACATGTGACATTAAAATGTTCTTGCACCTGCACAGTGCACATTTTAAGCATAGAAAGTTTGCTTTAGTAAAAACTTACTTCCGGACTTTGTACAGTAATGGACACACTTGCTGGAGTTCTGCAGCTCAAGCACCAGTAATAGACTGAAAATAAGGTCTTATACTGTCAGGCTGGAGAAGAGCTTGAGCATTTTGTCATAAGGAAACTCTTGCATATCACCAGTTGAAATGAATATCTTCAGAACATTTTTTTTCTGTAGATTTACAGAAATTATGTTTGTTCTTAAGCAATTTAAAAGCATATTAATGAAATACCAAGAGTAAAAAAAAAAAAGAAAACATATCGACCATTTAAAAGTGGGTAAACAAATACATGATTCATTCCTAAATTAAGACAAATGTGAAATATGCAATTTCATGCTTTTTGTTGGATTATTCATTCACTTCATTCTCAGCAGTGGTAAACTACTTCTGTAGCCCTGGGTAGACTGATTGAGGCAAGGCTGCCACACCGATACCCACAAGGTGGGTGACAATATGTACAGTTTCATCCAGAGTCTTTGCCTTACCACAAAGCCTCTGTTGGCTCATTGTTAAAGGTACTCTATGTAGCCAATATACAGTCTATGATGTAGCCTATGCAGTTTTTTTTTTTTTTAGTTTTTTTTTTTTTTTTTAATCATTCCAGTCACCTGCCCGTTTTTGTTTTTTTTTTTTTTTTTGTTTTTTTTTAATAATCTAGGCTTATATCAGTTACATTTAATGTTTAGCAGAAGAGTGTCTTGATGATAGTGTAATAAAAAAATATCACTGTAATCTTAAAAACAATCAACAAAAGCAGTGAGGAGGATGAAACCCGAGAACTCGGATTGCCCCATATCATCCCCAAATCATGTTTTGTGGTCTTGATCAGGTTCTAATCTGCACAGCTTGTTCATTAATATATCATGCTTACAGGGTACACGGTGCCACTTTGAAGAGGGTAATAATAGATTAAGGCATAAAAATATACAATAAAATATATACTTATCTTCAAACATTAAGATGTTGCGGTCCCTTTAATGATTTACTTCCGGGTAAAAAGCATCGGAAATGCTTTGGGCTTGCTGAAAGGCGGATCCCTACGTTCTACTTTGTCTTTTACAAACAGAATTTTCTCTGCCTTTCTTTCAGCAAGTCGAACCAAACACCATAATAATAGATTGTAACACAGGTCTCACATATATCTTAACAGAGTAGAACTTGTAGGGGCGGCAGTGGGCATTTTGTCGCTCTGCTCTTAGCCAATACGCGGCTAACTTTGAACACATTAGCACCCAACTTGCCAAGTGTCCTGTATCGCAGAGGGGCAGCGATAGCATCTGTACTAAATACTGTAAGATGGCAGACAATGAACCGATGTGGGCATTGAAGAACGGCCAACTGGAAGATGTCAAAGCGATATTGGTGACGGTAAGTGTGACCCTTCATCATTTTGTGCTCGCTCTTTAAAGTAGTTAGCTAGCTTTCAACTAGCCTGATGGTTAGCGCAAGTTTAAGAGTGCTCTTTAGACTACTCTGGACAGTTTATTATGTTGTCTTTATCAGCAAATCCATGGCTCCAAAGTGTTAAAAGTTCGAAATAATCGCAAATTGCAACATTAAAAACATAAGCTGTTTTTTTTATAATGGTTACAATACAACGCTGCTTGCAGTCAATGTGTGTTACACCGTTATCTAAACTATTTATTAAACATGAGACTTATTTTCATCTGAAACGCGTCATCTACTTACTCTAATTACACTTATCGAAATTCGAGAAGAACAACCTGTTGGTTGCAGAAGTTATGGGCTATTTCTAGAATTAGCTTTAGCTGCACACTCACAATACACCTAGGTTAGCACACAAGATAATAGTTGAATATTCAGTACGTGGCTTTTCTATCTTCTATGAGTTTAATAATCTCCCAAACTCTCATTAGCTGTGATGCAGACAGCTACAGCTCAGTGGGCGGGGATCTGTGGTTTTGTTTTACGTAGTTGTCTTTTCTGTGTTTATGGTGTCAATGTGATATTTTTAGATTCTCAAAACAGTACTTCCGTTTTAAAAAATGACCCATAACAGAGGTTGTTTGAATCTAAAATGGGGGAACCACACAGCATTGGTTCACTATTGACTATTGTGATACCAATGTGATGCCAAAGCTACAGCAGGTGAAGGTAATGTTAAATATGTCATTAGCAGAATAGCAGTTCCATATCTATCATTGCTAATGCATTCAGTAGACCTGGCGATGGAATGAATAATTATCTCTGGTGCATTTCACTTGACCTTCAGTTGGGTTTGTTATAAAGGTTAAGTAGTACTGAAGGCGGGGCCTGTACAACACACATGAATCATGCAAGCACTTTGATGGACAGTGGTCATGAGCCCTGATTTGAATATTGGTCGCTTTTCCAACTGCTTTTAGAAATCACCCAACACCATTCTAGTGCAACAGACCTAGAGGCATTTTATGGGTTTGATTAGATATGCGCCACACCTTTACACAAGATTCATATCCCTGTACTATAATTGAGTTAGGCAGTATGATTTGTCCTGTTCATATTCTTTTTCTGATTGGTATTTTGGTTTTATTAGATTTTACTGTGGTGCCTCAGGGAACCTCAAGATTCATGCCAAGTGTGTCATCAGTAGATCAGGTGTTTTTAATAAGAACAATCTGTAACAAGATAGCCTTTCTAACGCTTGTTTGAAAGTTCAGCTTGTTTTTTTATTTGCATCTGGTGCATCTCATTACATCCACAATTTGATGGATGTTTTTACTTTCTGGCCAGGCTAAATGACATACAGTGCAATACAATTCTGCTTTGTTACTGTATTTGTACAAGACACGCTTTTAATTATTGGAAGAATAACTGTTACTATTTTTGAGTGTTTTTAAATGGAAAAATGTAAACTCTGCTTCAGACCACATGCTTTTACTGGGGATTGAGTGTAGACCTCCCATAAAAAAGAGGACAAAACATCATTGACCATAAGAGATGAATGAATCTCCATTAATATTTGATTTAACATTTGAACAGCAGTGTCTACTCTTACTCCTTTTTGACATTTTAGATATTGGAGGCGTGGTTACATTACCATTTTGATTATCTTTTTTTTTGTCATTTTTCAGGCTGAAGATGTGAACAGAATTCTAGAGGGTGGAAGGATGCCTCTACATGTAGCTGCAGACTTTGGTCATGCTGAAGTTGTGGAGTACCTTATTTCTAAAGGAGCGGACGTTAACGTAAGCCCAATCACTTTTGCTAGGTTAAAAAAGGTCTATCCCAGTGATTTATTTATTCTTTTAATTTATTTATAATTTTAATGTGCAGATAGGAACCATTTAGCACTATTAGGCATGTTACTTCAATGTTTCCTCATGTCATTTGTATGTCATTTGCAAGCATCTGTCCCTCTTTCAACTGATATGTTTTCTTATGCAACAGGCTCCAGACAAGCATGGCATCACTCCTCTGCTCGCTGCTTGTTATGAAGGCCATACCTCCTGTGTCAAGATCCTGCTAGCAAAGGTGGGTACCCTGGTTTTAGCAGACTTTTACGTCTTTGCTGTTTAAAGCTGATATTGGTGTGTCAGAGGCCACTCTATTCTGTTGAGGTCACTTCTTGTACAAAAGGACCTTTAACACTGTCCTTCAGAGGCGTCACTAGAATGGTCCCACAGCATCTCATTGTAACGCCCTCATTCATCTCTGTTGTTTTGTTCCGCTTATTAACAAGAATTTTGGAATAATTGTAATATACACAACCTTACCAATAGCTATTTGTGCTTTCTTTACTTTAAGTTTAATATTTCACTACAGTAGAATATCCTGTCAAGACTGTAATTCTGAGCCAACTGTCATGTGTGTCAATGCATTATGGGTGTATGTTAACTTCATAGCTGTCTAAAGGGTGCACTGAAACTGATACCAGTCTAAGCCACATGTTTCACATAGTCTCCCCATAAATCTCTTTTTACTTGAGATTTTATTTATTTTGTTTATTATAACTAATGTATACAATTTATTTAGTGACACCCTTCATGTTCATTTAATTTGTCAAACTATCCATATGGCTATTGAGGGTTTGCAACTTCTTTACCCTGCTGTGTTGTGTCATGGAATTGGCTTGCCTTCAGTGTGATGCACAGTTGCTGTTTATAGATAGACATAGTCTAAGAAACTTGTACACAGACATGTACTCCCATCTCTCCCTCTCTGGCTCCACACATACTCCTTCAATCGACCTAATACAGCTTCATGGACCAGCTTCTGCATTTAACAGTTTTAAGCAACTGGCTAGCAGCTGCGCAACAGCTGCCCCCGTTCAGCTGGCAACTGCATTTGGCTTCAGGTTTGAACCAAGCAGCCAGAACAAGTGAAACAGAAATGTTCTTGTACTGCATACTACGGAACTATTTTTAGTCTAATTTTGGTGAAACTGTATAATTAATGTATCTGAAGTGATGCATTTATCTTTGAATATTTGATCATCTGCTGTTAATTTTGTTCAAGTAGCAGTAAACAAACCAAACGACACAAGCCTTTTAAGCTAATGGCTCCCGCTCCTCCACCCCTGCTCTGGAAATGTAAGGCCCTTTAAATCTATGTCGTGCTCTCGTATGACACAAGACAGAGTTGAGTTTCAGTTGTGTGACTCATCTTGATGCATTTAACGGTCAGATGCCAACAATATGAGCAAACCCATGGCTCTCACTGAGCACTGTCCAGATTACTCAGCTGAAAGGTCACCATTCACTACAGGGATTTCAATGGGATGCACTTGCTCCTCACAGGTCCTAAATTCTGCCTTGTGTTCCAACATGAAATAAAAGTGTCCAGCAATCAAATTATTGAGCATGCCGAGTGATCTCCACTCCGTCTGACTGCACACCTGCAGCATCGCACCACTGCACTTTAGTAGATAATAGGAGCTCACTGAGAGTAACCCATTGTGATGGCTAGACTGCCAGACATTCATTTTCTGTGGACAAAAATGGCCCAATGCATCATGGGAGCTGACCCCTGCCCCTTCTCTGCATGCAGCGTTGCTGTTGGCAGCACATTATGAGGGGGCATTTTAACCGTATTGCACTGCCCTGTGGTAATGTGGCACAGAGTGCTGACTACAGCCAGAAGAGACTGAACAGGTAATTTTGGTGCAGAAGTGCTGTTGTCACATCCTGTTTTTAACCTCAGACTTAGGACACTTCCTCTAATGTCCTAATATCTAATCATACTACAGAGTCAGACTAGTACTGGAACCTTTATTTCTCTCATTTAACACCTACTACTGATAATGATTAGATGTTATTTATAATAAATTATACATGATTTTTTCCCCATAATATTTACTTCACTCACTTAAAAGACTGTAGTATCTTCACCATCAAATGAGTGTGGCTGTGAAGCTTGGCTTTGGTTTATGATGTAATATGTCTCTTACATTTTGCCACACTTGGGGACTGGTCTGTCTGGGGTCACATGTTTGGACAGTGAGAAGGGCATTACTCCAGTTGCAGAAAGATGGATATTGTAAGAGCTGTCAGCGCTGTCTGCTGTTGGTGATTGAGCACGGCAGGAGAGCCATAGCCACAGATCTGTGTGCTATTATTGGGCCTGCTCTTAAGGGCTTTCTTTTAGAATAGTCTGTTTTTAATATATATTTTTCCTCTCAAAGTGCCTGTTGTCTTAGATGTTGGTGTGGTCAGGTATGTATTTGTTACACAAGGGCAGTATTGAATGGTGTAGAGGTGTAATGTTGTTCTAAATAAGGTCTGTGGAGTCAGTTAGGAAGAATGTTCTTGAACCATCAGTTAATGACTTCCCTTGAGCTGAAGAGACTCCTGTTTCCTGTCGTTTTCTGACACGGTGAATGCTTGGATCAGCAGCACAAATACAACTAACCACAAGCATCAAATGGCTACTGGGAAAGTTACATTAGCCCTTTGCATTTTTATGTTACTTTGCAAATATTTTTGGTGAATATAACAACAACAGTTCATATCTTTGAAAACATATCAGAGTAGAACTTTTCTTTTTTATTTTTCCCCGGAGGAGCCTGTCTGGGCCTGTGTCTAAAAGATGAATTATACTGCTAAACCCTCTGTGTATTAGCAGATAAAGTGGAAGAAAATTATTTATTTTCTCAACATCCAAACAGTTCATTCATATTTTCTGACTCCAAACCAGATTATGTCTGCAGAGATTTGTGATTAGTGCTCTTAGCGTAACATCTGAAATTTTTGGATAACGTTAAATGGTTACATCATTATTCAAACACTTAATTGGCTTGTTTAAAATGTAAGATGCAGTACGAGTTTAAATATCAGGAGGGTTTATTCATTCCAGCATAAGCAGGTACTGTATGCTCAGTAGCAAACATTTGATTGAATATTACAATGCAATATTATGATCTTCAACATTGTTGTACTTCTGGTTTACTTGCTGGTGCTCCCACCTACTGTGTTGATGCATATGTTGAGTAGAGCTGCAAGATTAATCGCAACCCAACTCAAATTGCAATTTGTATGGAGGCAATTAGTCAAGCGCAAAGGCTGCAGATTTTTAAGTACTAACATTTCCTCCACAAACAGCAACAATCCTGTGTTATTCTGGATAAAACTGTTTAGTTGTGCTAAACAGAAATGTGATTCTTGTAATTGTTTGTCATTGTCAGTTCACATTTCAGTCTTTCAGTCAATTCTTTCTGGCATGTTTAAAATGCGTGCTCTCTGAGTCTAAAAAATATTTTGATTGTCAACCTGGAAGAAAGGGTCTCTGTTCACGGTGTGGGCTGAGAGTTGATTGGCTATCCACCCTGCTTTGCTCTGCTGTCTGACTGAGAACTATTGTAGTACTGTTATAGTAGGTTTTACCAAAAGAGTTTGTAAGAGCTGGGAACAACTTCACGGGTCATGGGTAACAATTTTAATACAGACTTTCCTAGTTTGCAATTTAAAAATGATATATACACATATGTACCTGCTCACTCAAAAAAAAAAAAATCAAAAGTATTAACTTGAACTGAGACTCCCTGTTCTGTTCTTGTAATGACTTGATCTCTGCCTATGCCTAGGCTGCTGCAGTTCAGCCCTTCACGGCTCTAACATGTAGACTTTAGTGTGATACAACACAAGCACTTGTCTCTTTCCAGTTAGGTGTTTACAGTGACAGCTTCCCTCTTTGCCCTGGTAAATCTGCACAAACAGTGTTTAAGCACTCTCAAGTCTTCAGGGCTTAAACTGGGTCACACACTTTTGGATGCCCAGTTTCTTCTCTGCGCCACACACACATGTCCTCTGTAAGCCCTGTGTTGAGAGGCTCAGGTCAGGCACTACAAGGCCGCACTACATTCCCCTGACCATCTAATTCTACTTCATGTCCACTGCACATGACAAATCATCCCTCATTGGGGTGGCTAAAACTAATATAATTTCATAAATACATTGTTTCATAAACATCAGTGTCAGTCTTTCATTACTCTTTTATATGATTATCATGGTTTTGACTTATACTTGAGCTTGTAAAGATTTCAGTAAAAGACCTAATAGCATAACTCACTGGACCCTTTCTACATCACCCTTACAAACAAACATACAAACAACTGATTGAGACAAGCAATGGTAATCTGAGATAATCATATATAATAAAGGGTCAACTAAACTTAAAACTATATTCTAAAATATTAAATCACAGGGTCAAAGGCAGATGGTTGTGTTTTGAAGGGCATAGCACACAAAGCAATATGCAAATCAATATACATAACCTGAAAGAAAAGATGTTTCCATGCAATTTTTCAGCAATTCATATTGTTTTGTTGTTTCTGTTATTTTTCAGGGAGCGAACAAAGCTGTTAAAGGTCCTGATGGTCTGAATGCTTTTGAAGCTGCTGAGACTGACGGTTTGAAGGCCCTGCTGAAGTGAGGCATGAGACACGGCTGGACGAGGCTGGACTGGCAGGGGCACAGGGGGCAGACAAGAGAACTGACGATGGACGCAGTGCTCACATGACAGAGGACAAACACAACTCTAAATCTTGGAACAACCTCTGCCTAAAATACACTGCTTTGTACCTTTGATAGAGATGGTCAGTTTTCTTTGTCTGGGCATTTTCCCAATTATTTTCTTTCTTTTTTTACTCACAGTTTTTGGGTTTCGCTTTGTCTTCTTTTTAACCTCTGATTGTAGCCAGAGGGTCTGTCAGCTCTGTCTCTCTGGGGGACCAAAAACGTAGAAACTTATCCAGACAAAAATGCAAAAACAATAAGCACTTAAACATTGTTCCAAATTACAGCTGAATTTGAATAATTGGCCTTTTTATACTCTTAGATGAGACTTAATTGTATGGGCATTTAGTGCATTGTACTTAATTAAACTGAGGAATAAGAGTGGGAAGAAAATGTATTTGTGTATTTTTTTATAACAAATTCACCCCTAACCAAATCACACAACAAAAGGCTTTTTCTCAACTGCTTAATAAATGGTTAATAAATGGCAATTTCCAATCATCACATTAACTAAATAAATATAATAGATATAAATCCACCTGTTTTTGCAACATAGAAACGATAAAGTAAAACAAATGATATCTGAGACCAATGACTTTTAGTAGCAGTTCTTGTATTCTGTATTTGGTGGCCAATAGGAGTAATAGAGGTGCTTTGTTTAAACTGGATTGTGGATTTAGTTGGAATGGTTTGAAAATCTGTCTATTTTGCTGCATGTCAAACTGCCTCTGCTTTTATGCTATGAAATGGTCACAGTCCTCTTTTGGTTGCTTTGAGATCACCTACAACGGTGTAGCGGACAAAAACATGCTCTTGCTGACTTTGTTGTGACAAAAAGTCTGTAAAAACAAATAAAAAATGACAAATAAGTTATGTTTTCTAAAATTCTTTTTAAGAAAGATGCAGAAGTGAGAATGGTTTGGGCTGCATAATTGCAATAGAATCATAATCACTAAAAACCTCTAGTGACATCTTCAAACATGGTGTTCTTGTATTAGCTTTTTTTTTTTTTTTTTTTTTTTTTTTTCTTTCAGTTTTTGAAGCTGTAATACTCCTGGATGTGTTTAGACTGTGTAATCTGAGCAGAATCCTAGAATTAAAACCAGAATCTCATTTCTAGTTGCAATTGCAGTGTGTCTCAGAAAAATCTCAATTACATGTTATAAATTCAAAACTGTTCACCCCAATAAAGTCTAAAAAAAACATAAGATGTTAAATAAATAATAATTAATAATGTACCTGATTGTATAATGAATCTGCTTACTATAGTACAGTACAGCCTCATGCCCATTTAAACAGTTTAGATTAAAGTTTGTTTAGTAAAATAATTTTTTTTGATAAAGTTTGCTTTCTACTTCCACAATTTTTCTATTAGGATGTCACTGCAGGTCAAACACAAAGTCATATTTTCTTATTTGCCTCAAACTGATTTGAGATAATCTTTTGTTGTTGATTACTGTTGCTTTGGGCTTTGAATAATGGCATCTTATTTTTACTCACCGGATCCATTATACATGTGACAAATTATACCTTTAGTTTTCCTGTTGCCCCGGGTAGCAGCCTAATCAGTAATTTTCAACTTAAGCCACTGTGTCCATGACCAAAATGGCAGACTCTAATCTTCGTTGTCATACCAATCTTTGCCTTGAGCGTGCGGCTCTATTACCGTTCAGACGTACTCAGATCCTACTTGATTTGTTAGCTTGAAATCATGTTTGTTGTAATGGGAGGAGAGTCATTTTCGGTCTGCAGATGTGTTCATGTCTAAACATATGGATTTCATACAGTGTGTTGTACTTTATGTCCTGGTTGTCACAATACTAAAATGGAAAATCTAACTTTAACAATAATAAGGAAAAACTCACAATAATATAAAACACCTTGATACAGAATTGTTAATACAAAATAATTGTAGTGTGCTGTAAGTGTGTTCTAATATTGATCAAGACCATATTAAAACTATTTAGGACATCTCTTATATTGCTCTATGGATTTTCTCTGTACCGAAGTTGTTCCAATGACTATCTAGTCTGATACGAGTTTTAGTACTGATTAGTATAGATTTTTTTTTTTTACTCACTTACTTTATTTGTGGGTGACAACAGTTTCACCCGCATAACATAAGTTACATGCTTCAGTCCACCTCTGACAGTACATACACATGCACATATTTGGGAGGGCATATGTTCCATGATCATACAGAACACTGAATCTATTACAGAATCACCAGATATTTTTCTGTGACAAGTGATACCTTGACAGAAATCCAGTTTGTGAATAGCACTTGTAACTGAGTCTGTGAGCCACGAAGAAGTACAGGTGAAATCTATAGATTCAGTGAAATAGCAGCAGTATGTTAACTATAATGCCAAGCACGCTGCAGGAGCCCATGTTGTAGGTAATCACAGTCACATTTGTCCAAGACCCTCGCCATGTTTTTGAGGGAGAACAAAGGAGAATCAATTACTACAGCGTGGGGAAACAGGCAGCTCGAATGACTTGGCCACATTGTGACGGGCCCACACATCTTGTGTCTATGTTACAGCCGGTCCATCTCATCAGAATGACTATCAAAGCAAAGGCAGAGGACTAAACTGAATTCTAACGGGTGTATTCCTGAAAATGAACCTTTTTCCTTTGGTCTTTAATGAAATAACCCTGAAACCTGGTGTGCTGAGACTGTATATTAGACTAATGATAAATGTAAGATCGGCCATACATTTTCATTTATTATCTGAATGCACAGCTTCCTGGGTAATGCCCCATCTTTCAAATCTTCTTTTTGGGTTTCTTCCACTCTTTTATTATTTTTCCTTGCACACGATTGCGATTTTGAGGGCCTAAACATCGACAAAAAGTCCCCAAACCGGGAATCAGGTCAACCAGTCCGGTGAAAAATTTGATAAAATGGGCATCATGACAATACCCAAAGTGAGTAATTAAATTCACAATTGCATGATCTGAATGTGAATGTAATGAAATATGAAATCTAATAAAAGTGTACACTATAGCGCCCCCTACCATAGATACGAAACGTCAACATTATTGGATTTCAGGGATAAAATTCTATGCATGATTAGAAGCAAAAATATCTATTATGAACATGGGGCATTTTTCATGGTGGGGTGCAAAGACTCCCCCAAAACATAGTAAAAAAATAATTACATGCACATACTTAGTCCAGTCGTGCTGAAATTTAAAACAGTAATTTGTGATCTAAGCCTGATTATAATACACTATAAAGTATATGAAAAGTGTACACTACAGCGCCCCCTACAATGGACATGAAATGTCAACATTATCAGATTTGTACCAAATTCAGGGATTAAGTTCTATGCATGATTATGAGAAAAAAAAGAAAAATAAAAGTATTACGAACATGGGTCATTTTTAATAGTTGGCCAGCAGGGGTGCAAAGACTCCCCCAAAAAATATTAAAATATAATATAAAAATTATTACACACATGTCCGATCGTGCAGAAATTTCTTTCAGTTATACACTGCATGACCCTGATCCCATTGATATGTCAAACACAATTAACATTAACTATTCAGCTTCTTTTTTATGCATTGTTTTCTCTCAGAACTCTCAAATGCATCATTGGTATCTTCTCATCTAAAAAGGATTATTTTAGATTACAATAAGAAAAAAGAAGATAAAAGATGACAAAGTCAGTGAACAGAAGCATTGTGAGTGTTTGTGTAGTAATTAGCAGATGCCGTGATTAGCCTGTGTGGCCACATGCAGCGTGTAGTAGGATGAGCACACACGAGGAATACTGTGAATCCCCTCCTGTATCTTCTCTCACAGTCACCACAGAGACTGTGCGGAGCTGCTCATGTGAGCAACCAGCTCAAAACGATGCCTAATGAAGTAGCAAATCCAAATCATTAGCATAATTAATATGTGATTGCCTTTCGGGTGTCCCTTGCTCCCTTCATCCTCCACAATTTATTATTGACTGTTGTTTGAATACATCAGAGAAACCTAGGGCTTATTTTGGAAGAGATCTATAGCTTATTTACCATGTAGTAGTTTGTTGGTCATGTGACCTGAAACTAAGCCAACCATGAAATCAACCATTAAATCAAAGGAGACTGATCAAATGAAAACTCATTCAGTGGATGGGATTTTATCATGTATTCTTCTAAATCCACAATTTAAGTGTCAGTTTTTACTCTCACAACTAAAGTCTGTTAAATGTCCTTTATTACTTCTGTATTGTAATACAAGTTAGGGTTAGGGTTCAAGTGATTTTGCATGATCTTTGGTTAAAGGTTTGAGTTCAAAATGAAGGTGTTCTGCACTCTCCTTGTTCATGAGGACTGGTGATCTTTGGATAGAATAGAATAAACTTTATTGTCTCCTGAGGGAAATTTGTCTTGGACACAATATTTGCTACAGCAAATATTCAAGAAAAGCTAAGATTCAGTTAAAATACATTCTTAAGAAAAGAGATTCAAACTGCTTGATCATGCTTTTTGATGCTCAAGTGTCAGTTCAGTAATTTCATTGATGACAAAGGGGTCTGGATTTGGAGATGTCAGGTCAGTTATAGCACTTACAACAATATGTTTGTTTAACATTACTCCCAGATCAGGAAACACACATTAAAATATGTTTTTGTGATCAGAATGACAACCCAACAAGTCCCAAACAGTGTGCTAATTAGGGCAATGATTACACAATATTTTGATATTTTTCTCCAAAGTGTCTCAGTGCACCTGGTGATTTATTTTCAAAAGTATCAGCACAGAACAGTTTGTGTAGTGTCAAAATGTGAAGGTAATCTACTTTACACATGAGCACATCTGCATTCCCCTTCAAGTTATTTATTGAACAAGTCAACAGCCATATGCTCTTATAGCCCTGATCATCAAAGCTCCATAAAACATGACATGCATGCCCCTAGCTCAGCATAGATCCAACTTGAGCTGCTGTGTAGTAAACACCAAACAAAAACTCAAACTTAATTATGACTGCTCCACCGCAGGTCTCAAATATTTTATTGTTTGTCAATTTAGTATAAGCCCAACTGGAGCATATTCAAATTATATTTTATACTATTTCGCATCTGTAATTTTATTCCAAACATTTAGAATTGTACAACTCAATGTTATGTGGTGCCAGTAAGAGCCAGCTTTTTGTTCTGGGAAGTGATGGGTCTCCAGCTTCAAACTGGTCAAATTGGTCCAACAGGTCCAACAAGTCCAACAGGTCCAACAGGTCATTTTCATAAGAGCTGAGTTCTTAATTGAGCATTTTGTGTTGTCTGTTATCAGGCAACAGTGCTACAGGTGGATTAGTTATCCCCTTCAAATGTGTAAATAAATTTGGGTTAAAATACTGAAGATTTTTGGATGAAATGCCCTCATTTCTAAGTCCCATTTTTCCCTTTTTGTCCCTTTTACGTGGATAAAGAACATTTACTTGCAAGGAATTTAGAAACAAATGATAATACATTAAGGTTATGGGGTTGGAAGCCATGAGCCTGATTGAAAATCCCACAAGATGTTTGAACAGCCATTCACAGAGAAACTGAGATTTAACCAAAGTGCTATTAGGAATGTTTTAATTGGAAATTAAGGCGGATTCATTATTGGTGTTATGACAGCTGAGTGAGCAGCAAAGCTGTCGGCATGGTGGTGCACGCCAGTGAGCACAGGGGAATTGTGGGTAATTTGTCTAAAGACAGTGCCTCTGCGCTGCTGCAGTTTGGCATGTATGTGCCAGTAAAGTTGAGCCTGGCTATATGAGTTTGTTTGAAAACTTTTCTTTACAGCCAGATGGAGATTCAATAAACAGGTGTCAGTTCTGGCATTCTGAGTTCCCACATGAAGTCATTATGGACTAAAGATATCATTTCAA